ATAATAATAATAATAAATAAATAAATAAATAAATAAATAAATAAATAATATATATATATATATATATATATATATATATATATATATATATATATATATACAATGGCCGATATTAATATAATAATTATGTAATTTAATTATAAATATCAACAAATAAATATAAATAAACAAATAAATAGACAAATAAGTAAATAGATGAATAAATAAATAAAAATATATATAATGGCGAATGTTAGTAGCATAATTATGTAATTTAATTATTTACAATTTCAAAGTATCCTTACCCATAAGAATATGCATACTCTAGCTTAGATGTAAATAAAATAATTATGGAACAGAAAATAAATGATGACAAATTCAGAAAATATATTAATCATTACTGGAATTTATTATTTCCTTTTATTTTATCCATTTGTTGCTTTCCGTTTTGTTCATTTTTTTTCACTTTTATTATTTCCGATTTATCATTATTTTCATCAATCATACATTCTGCATCTTTTTGCTTTTTCATTTCTTCAGCTTTTTGTAATGCGCATAAATATTCTTCATGATATCTATAAATTAATAAATTAAAAAAATCATTTTGCATTTTAATTTAATCATTAATCTTAAAATCAATAAATAATTGAAGTTTTACATAAATTTTACAAAATTTAAACAATCAAATGTATTATTAATATACTTTTATTTAAATAAATAAGGAAACTAATTCAAATATATTATTATTTAAATAAATAACGAAATAAATAAATACTAATTTGTTAATATTTATTTAAATAGTAAAATATGCAATAAAATAACGACATATATATATATATATATATATATATATATATATATTGAATTCAAATTTTTTTACAAGAGAATTTTTTTAAATTATATTCTATCACTAAAAAAAAAAGATAACCAGTTGCATTCCAATAGTTCTTATCGACTATTTTTCTAAATTAATCTAATTGGTGTTTTAAAAAAACAAAAATAAAAGGTCACTTTTAATTCATTTATTTGATTACGAATTGCTAAATGCAATAGAAATTAAAAAATTTATATAAACAAAATATAAATAAACAAATAAATAAATATATATTTATATATATAAGATAAAAATTTACATAAATAATACGTATATGTAATAAAGAATTTAGCAAAAAAATATAGAATAAAATAAAAAACCAAAAAAATATTTAGCAAAATTTAAAAAAGAAATGAAAACCTTCCATTTTCTTCCCAATCATATGGATCATCTAGCATATAATGTTTTCGTTCACAAATTTCACGTAATTTACGTGTAATTAATGCATAATTTGGTCGAGCAGAATAATTTAAATATCGAATATGATCAAAAATAGCATAAAATTCATGGGGACAATTTTTTAGCAAATATTCTTCACTTCGTAACTGAAAAAAAATATTATTACACTGAAAAAAAAATGATTAAAAGCAAATCAAGAAGGAAAACAAGGCGAAACAAGAATTATCACGAAAAATCATGATGATAAAATTATGATAATAAAATTATGATTTTAGATTTATTATCATTTTATTTATGTTTTATTCAAAATATTGCTTCCAATCAATTCTATTAAAAAAATTTTACATTTTGTTAAATATATCTATCAGTAAATATATCAATTTTTTCCATTTCCTTATATCTTATCAATATCATATCAATTATTTTATATGTTATAATGTTTCAAAATATTTATGCAAAATATAAATTCAAAATTATCAAATTTTTTCAAAAATTATCACTAATTTCAGACGCTTTCTCATCCCTTATCATCTATGGTCTAAAAAAATTTTTTTTTTGCTTTTGACATAAATTTCGATAAAAGAGTAATCAGTGATAAGCAGGAAAAAAAAAGAAATTGGAATTAATTAATAAAATTTTTTCGTATTTAAAATATTTAATAAATAATTGAATATAGATGATAAGCTGATAATTAATATAAATGATAAAGTTATAAATGATGAGGCTAACAATTTTTTTTTCTTTTAACATAAATTTAGACAAAGGAATAATCAATGATAAGCAAAAAAAGAAAAGGAAAAAATGGAATTAATTAATTAAATTTTTTTCTCTTTTAAAATATTTAACAAATAATTAGTTCATTTTCTTTTTTAAATTAATCATTTCATAATGGAATAAATATTAATTATATTTTTTAAAATGGGGAAGAAAAAAAAGTGAAATAAAAAAAAAACTTTTATTGAGAGAAGATTTTTGTATGAGGAAGATCGCCATGGTAATTGACCAACGATAAATTCAATAAGCATATAGAGGAATGACCATAAATCATCACGTCGACCTAAAATATTCATTAAAAATATTTTTATAATTCATTTTAAATTAATCATTCCCAGTTATAAACTTAAATAATTCAAATTACATTTTTGAGTAATAAATATTTATTCAAAATAATGGAAGAAAAGAGGAAAATTATGCAATTATGATATAAATTAAAGAAAAGTAATTAAATTAATAATTGAACAGAAAAAAAAGAAAATAAAAAATAAATAAATAAATGAATAATAATTTTATAAATTTTATGATAATTTTAAAATATATGATGAAAAAGTATTTTTTTTTTTTTTGAAAAAGATTTTACATATAATTGAAAATATTTTAATTGTAAAATTAAAAAAAAAAAATATTATCAATGATGTGAAAAATTTTTTCTTCTTTTTGAATAATTTTAAAAAATAAAATCTGTAGAAACAAAAAAAAATTTTTTTGTTTTTTTTAATTAGTAAAATTTTTTTTTTTTTCCAAATATTTTTAATAAATTTAAATGTCATTCATTTCTCTTTTTTTTTTTCATTTCATTTGTTTGAATTTACCTTGCTCTTTTCGCATATGTACAAAAATGGAACAGTATCGATCAGTACCCAAATATGGTGCTTTACGTCTTGCTTTACGATGTTGTAAATTTCCATCTAAACCTCTCGTTAACTAAACAATCTATGATTAAATTAAAGTTAATTTTGATATTCGATATAAGTAAGAATATTTTATACGAGTAAATAAGTAAGTAGTACGAGTATTCTTGTAAGAGTACATAAGTAAGTAATAAGAGTATTTTTGTAAGTGTATATAAGTAATAAGAGTATTTTTGTACGAGTATATAAGTAAATAATAAGAGTATTCTTGTAAGAGTATACAAATAAGTAATAGAGTATTTTTGTAAGTGTATATAAGTAAATAATAAGAGTATTATGAGCATCGTTTAATTTGCAGGCAAATTAGGAAGAGTGGAAGGGAGAAATGAGAAAAATGCAAATTTGGTTTACTTTTACAAATTAATGATTTCATGAAAGCATAATAAATTAGTGAAATATTGTAAGCAGCTATAATTAAGTACTTTATAAAACTTAATAAGCTAACTTCATTAATAAATTTAAATTCATTATTGAATTAATAAATTAACTAAATATCACAAATGTTGCATATTAAAATATAACATATTGAATAAATTTATTTAAAAAAATAAATATTTTTACTTGAATATATATATATATATATATATATATATATATTATATATATA